CATGTTTCCCCATCTTCCAACTCCACATTCATATGCTAATTAATCATTCTTTTTTTCTTTATCATATTTCGGAAATTGATCAGATCTATACCAATAATAATTCAATGAGTTGTTCAATAATCCAATAATTCAATAATAATAATAATAATTTTTACCTTGTCAGATTTGATAAGGTAAATGTTAAAAGTATTGACATTTTATAGTCCTATACATTCTCTTTTCGAGAGGACAGAACAAAAACTTTTAACTTTATAAGAATTAAATTTGAGGACAACTCTCGCTTAATGTAAGGTCTGTCCTATTAGTTATATATACCATATACTCTTTTTTTTTTAATAAAAGGAAAAATATCGATGATGATTTTTTTTTTTTGAAACTTGTTGGTGATGAATTGTTGAAGGCATCTTAGAGGGGACCCCCACATTTGGAAGGCCGGTATTATGGTTTGTACCCTACCTTGGTGTTGTTGGATATATGGTAATGTGCCAAATATCACCCCTATTACTTATATATATATATATATATATATATATATATATTTTGTTGTAGGTCACTTTAATGTGTTTTCACTCCATCATTATATACGATTTAAATAAATAAAAAGTCCAAGTCTTTTTCTTTTTAATATAATATTTTTCAATCAATCTTGAATTTCACTCTAGCTAGCTAGTGTCAGGGGTGGAGTGCAGCTAGAGAAAGATTAAAAATTTATGAGTAAAGACGATGGAAGTTGTGATTTATGTGGGTAAAATTAAAAAGAAAAAGAATAATAGGCTAATGAATAATAATAGGGGAATAGGGGGGCCAAAATAAAGTTGTGACTTTTGTCAAAAAGCCACAGCAGCCCTAAAGCCTAAGGGCACCCCCCAAAGACATGATAAAAAGTAGGGTATCAGTCCCCATATTTGAAGCAAATGCAATCTCCCAAAACATATCTAATTGGGTATCTTTTCTTTAAGTAGTTTAATAATTAAAATGGCTTGAATTAATGTTTTAAAAAACTTAAAGTCCAAAACATGACAGGAAAGAAAAAACAGGTGGGGAAACGTGGGAAGAGAGAGAGAGAGAGAGAGAGAGAGAGAGAGAGAGAGAAGGAGACGTAGAGCGTTTCAGGAGCGAGAGAATCTCAATATTAATTCTTAACAAAGTTTGCTTGGTCAGTAGAGAAAGTGATTAAATTAAGGTTTAAATAATAAATACTATTTTAGATTTTAGATTATGTACTCTCACCTCTTTTCTATACTTTCAATTTTTTTTAATCCATTTACTTTCAAAATTTTTATTTTGATCATATATTTTTATGGTCTCTATTTATAAAAATTTTGATACAAATTTTATATATAATAGAAATACTTTAATACAAATTTGTGACTACATTTTAAGAAATTTAGTAAATTAATAAGTGAATTGTCGTACTTTCAAATAATGAAATAAAAATGAAAGTAGAAGAATTAAAATAATCATTCTAATGTACAAGGACCAAAACGAAAGTTTTGAATTATATTGATCAAATAAACGTTTTAACGAACTCCATAATGAAACAAATTTAAAAATATATTGAGAAAAAAAATGTTTGAAACTTTTAATTAAATCGATTAGGTTTAGATTTTCCAAGCTGGCCTGACTTTCGGAACAATAATCTAATCGATATGCTTTTTTGGCATGCACATGCCCTCAGCCGGCCCTCCCCTGAGCTGCTGCTGTGTTTTTTTATTGGCTTTTGAATCTTCCAGATATGCTTACGTGGCTCTCTTTTATTTTATAGTTGAAAGTTGGAGCTTTGGTCTTTATATCTAAGATTACTCCTAGTATGACTAAGAGACTCTGAACCCTTGTCAACTCGACTGTTGGGAATGTTTCGCTTTTTTCTTTCTTTATTTTTTTAATTTAGTTTATTTGTCATATTGCCAATGAGTTGGTATCCTAATTAAATTTGTCTAATATTTGTTGCTAATTGTATTAGATTTATCGATTTGAATAAATTCAACTGGTTAAGACATATACTATCGACCAAAATTCAGATACTTGAATCTCCTCCTTTAGATTGTTGAACAAAATAATATAAAATAGAGTTCAGTGGGAGTAAAAAATAGAAAAAGTGAATAAATAAGACATGGCTTACAGATGTTTTGATGTTCAATCCTAATAATGAATTTGAAACTTCTCAAACYATAAGAACCAAACTGAAATTAAGTCAAAATGTAGAAATTAAATTGAAGATTTTAAAACTATAAAGAGGAATTGAAATTAAACTCAAATCACATGAACAAAATGGATARTTTAACCTTCGACCATAAGGATTAAATTGAAGATTGAGAGTTTTGACATTTTATAAAATAGCATAATCTAATAAACGTTAAAACGTATGACATTTTTAAAATGCATATGAAGTGAAATTTCTCTTTCACGGAAATTTGTCGATTTATTCAGACAATGTCTTGCTTTTCCTACGGTTTGACTTGGGACAGGCCCATTGGGCCCATCTTTTCGCAGAGCCCAATACGATGGTCTTTTGGACATTCCTGAAGGCCCAGTTTGGTACCTCTGGGCTCAGTCTTCAGAATTGCAATGTAAAGTAAACAAGCAAGAAATTAGATCTTATTGTAAACATTTTGGAATTTTGAGCATCGTCATATATTTCAAACAAAACAAGTGCTTATGATAAACTTCGCATTATAGTGGGAGGTTGGCATTATAGTTGGAGGTTTAAATCCTCGCTTAAAAAAAGAGGGCAAATATGATCTACAAATCAGAAATGAAAATGATTGTCAAACAAATAAAGTTATTACTGAGGAGGAATGCAGTAACTTCATGTATGCTCATTTGATAAAGTTCCTATGAATGATCATATTTATTTTCATTGAAGATTCCAATTATGTTATCTTAAAAAATAAAAAATAATGTTAAATTTTATGACCAAATAACTTATATCTTATTAAAATTACTGTTTTATTCACATATTAAAATACGTGAGCATACTATTTGAACATACTAGGAAAAGAAATAGGGGTATTCTTGTACAGCTTGGCCCTTTCCCTGGCGCACTGCCATCGAATCTACTAGTCCTCCTCAAAGCCAATGAGATAGAATTCCTTGCGAATTTGAGTTTTCCGAAATTTTATTCGTTATTTTTCACTAATAGTTGAAGGGAATTCTTCGGACTTTCCAGGATTAAGTAGCATGAAAGTGACATGTTCACATGTTAAAATATGTAGAATAATAATAAATGTATGTAAGTGTATATATATATATGTATAACAAATGTGTTAACTGAGCTTTTAAAATATGCTTTTGGTTATGAGGTTTGTAATTTATGTCTGTTTCATCCATGAATTTTAAATAAAGATACTTTAGTCCTTACAATTTATAAAACAATTCTAAACAGTTTATTTAGATCTACTATAATATTGACGGAACTTTTTAATCTTTTACCATTCTAATTTTATGTTCAAATTTTTTGACTTAGATGCCACCTAATCATAAAAACTGATAAGTTGGCGAGTCTATACCATCATTTAACAACTCGACCCGCATTATCCTAGATGAAAGTTCCATGAATATTTAGAATTTTAGTCTAAAATATATCTTTTAAAAGTTTAGAAACAAGATGGTATTTTACTCTTGAATATAATATTTATCCCATTAAAAATTTCAGAAAAGCCTTAAAATGGAAAAGTCTGACCATTTATCAGTAAATCCACACAACAGGATTATCCTTTTTCTTCCTTTTGTTTTTATTATTTTTTGTTGGGGAAAGGAAAAAACCATCTTCTAGAAGAAAAGAAATGGAAGCAAAATTTCCGCTAATTACTGAAACAGCATGATGGTCCATAGCTGGCAAGGCAACAGCCCCATCAAAAACCAAAGCCCCAAACTGTCTGTCTGCCATTATTTCGGACCATTTTTTTTTTCATTTATTATTATTATTTCTATCTGAGCCTTTAAAGTTTATAAATTTTGAAGATGTCAACTTAGATTTAAATTAAAAAAAAAATACTAACTTAATCTTTGAACTTATATATATATATTTTGAAATCAACACTTTCATTTATTAAATTGTTAAGTTGTGAATGTCACTCTGTAAATTAAAAATCTCACTCTTGACCTTACCTAACAGTCAAAAAGAAAAATGTAAAAGAGAAAACAATGTTGTTTGAAGTTACTTTTAGAAGTTCATGTGTAGGTCGGTTGAAACCTTTTTCGACATGGACAGACACTGTGTTACTAACGCTCTTTACTAACATTTGAATATCTTCAATCCAAGTATTAGCATTATTAATCATTGTTAATATTCACAAACTTGACATGTATTGATATATTTTAAAATGTTATTCTGCCATATTATTTAACAAATAGATCATGTGAATGCTATATTATAGGCTTGGCAGTGTTGATGCCATACAAGCTGCTTTTTTTAGTACAACAATATGTGGACTTAATATTTGAATTTAGGCAAGTTAGATTTTTGAATTTTCAATGTAAGAAAAAGTAGTAACCATGGGAGGAAAATCATTTCAATAAATAACAATGTGTATCATCTTAGATTTTAAGAATAATAGTTGAAGCCGAACCTTAAGAATATTAAACAATTGATTGGATCCCAACATTCACTTGCTTATTAAAGAAGTTGTTAGTCATCTTATGTACTAAGATAGATAAATAATAGACATAATCGACGTACTCAACCAAAAAAAAAAATATTAAGACATAAATTGACACAGCAATAATGTTGAGAACCAAAATAATTCTTATTTTAAGAAATGGTTGAGACAAAAATAGATATTTAAAAAATTCAGAAGATGAAAGTGGAATATATTTTAAATATTTGAAACTAAAATAATGAAATAATGTTTAAAGGTTAGGCCAAACTTTTTGTCTGTGAAAAGAAATTTATCATTTATCTATTGCTAATATGATTTTTTTTTTACTTTTATAGGTGACGTAAATAATCCATTTTGTTAGCTCCCCAAGTCAATGAAGAAATTTGGATCCAAAGCCTTCCAAACCAGTCTTACTTGGAGGCTTTCGGAATTTGGATTCCACCGGTGGGACCTGGAAGTTGAAATTCATCACCTTTACAGATACAAACTCATCCTGTTTCTGATTTTCAATCCTCAAAAGCCATCGGAAAGATACCCTCCATTCCATTCTTCCACCATTTTCTGTTTCCGCCATTGGAGTACCCTTTTCCTGCTCCCCACTGCTGTTTTATTTCATCATCATTGCCGAATTTTCGAATTCTTCATGGGGAAGGGAGGGGGTTGTGTCCCGAGCAAGAAGAAGGTGCCTTCGTCTATTGCCGCCGAGGCCGCCGACGATGAACGGGCTCCAGACGGCGACACTGCTGCCCCGATCTCCATCGAGGAAGATCATCCCCAAATTGGTTCGTCGGGCAATGCCACATCCGAAGTCTCCGTCTCGCTGGCGCACCCAGTTGAGAAATTGAAGATTCTCATAGTGTTTTACTCCATGTATGGTCACGTCGAGAGCTTGGCTAAGAGGATGAAGAAGGGGGTGGATGGGGTGGAGGGGTTTGAGGGGATTTTGTACCGGGTGCCGGAGACCTTGCCGGCGGAGGTTCTGGAACAGATGAAAGCGCCGCCCAAGGACCCGTCGATCCCGGAGATTACAGCAGCAGAATTGGTGGCAGCTGATGGCATTTTGTTTGGCTTCCCCACGAGGTTTGGGTGTATGGCAGCGCAAATGAAGGCGTTCTTTGATTCAACTGGGCAGCTCTGGAAGGAGCAGAAGCTCGCAGGGAAGCCTGCCGGGTTCTTTGTAAGCACAGGCACTCAAGGGGGCGGCCAAGAAACCACTGCGTAAGCCTATTCTATCCAAGCCATTTCTTCTCTTCCCTTTGTGAAGCAATTGGAAATGCGAAGTCAACTCTCGTTTGTGGCCCATTTCACTAGAAACTTGTCTATTTGATATGGCGTATGGGTATATGGATGGTTTATATTTCTAGTTCCACAGATAATATAATGCTTTGTTGAAAATTGAACACCAGCTGGCTTGCTTAATTAGGACTCTTAGTGCTCTAATTTTAACTTATCTTTAAGCTAACAATGGTTTTGAAGTGAGTTTCATTAACCGAGTTGGAAATACTCTTGATTGTGGTTCCACTCATCACAATCCATTTTGTTTCTGGCACACAATGGAATTCCAGAAGGATGGAATCCAACTTCTTTTTTCTGTAATGCTTTTGGTAATCATGATTTATACAAGTTGTGATAAAAAATTAGAAAAAAAAGTGAAAACCCAGATATATTCATGCTCAAGCTTCAGTGTTAATTTTCGAACAAGGACAGATATTAGTAGCAGATTCATTAATTTGGTCTTCTCTTGTCCAATAGATCCTGATAGCCTCAGGGTTAGCCACTTGACTTTGATAAGCTGCAGGCAGAAATGCTTCCTAAAATGGTAAATTTATCCCTGAGGCTTCTTTGATAATTCTGGAATGACATTCAAATTCATAAGTCGGTTAAATTTTCTTCTACTATAGTTCTTGTCCAGTTCAAAGTCTGTTGGCTGAGGATTTGTTATATAGGTTTTTGGTTGCTATCAAATCTTTTGTCCTGTTAATCTTATATAGATATCATGCTGATTCATTTTGGATTCTCTATTACAACTAGTAGATTTCATGTTTATTCTGTCTTGTAAAAGTGAAATGCACTTTCTATCAAGGATTTTAACTGCATACAAGTTGAACCCCTTCTTGCCTGACTTAAAGAAATGATGAGAAAACTGAGATTGATTCTAAATGCTCTCTGGAATCCCACTTTTGGCTGCAGATGGACTGCAATTACCCAGTTAGCACACCATGGGATGCTATTTGTTCCCATAGGCTACACTTTTGGAGCTGGTATGTTCAAGATAGACTCGATACGAGGGGGGTCTCCTTATGGTGCTGGAGTTTTTGCTGGCGATGGCTCGAGACAGCCAAGTGAAACAGAGTTGGCGCTTGCAGAGCATCAGGGCAAATACATGGCTGCCACAGTCAAGAAGCTTTTCCAGGCTTGATGAATTCTTTCAGATTTCAGCAATCAACCCTCATTTATGATCGTTTCTTCCCTGTCCTGTCTCGATTCAAAATATAGTTGTCTTGTGATTGTTCTGGGCATTTTTTTTACATTACACGGTTTGTGCAAAATATACAATGCCCCGTGTGGGATTGTTTCGCTGTCTTCTCTGTACATGGTCTATGATTCATGGATATGGTGTATGTGTTTGTCAAATAATGCTGTGAAATGTGGAATTTTTTTTGTTAAATTTTGTTCCATTTTGTTGGAAATGTAATTGACTTGGGGATTCAAATGGCACTGTTGTCTTCACTGTTCATATTCTATACATGATATTTCACTGTTCGGTTCCTATTATGAATCAAACAATTCCATGGAATTTAGCTACCTGTATCAATTATTCAACATGAGTACGGGTGTTTGGATTGCTGACATACCTAGGATTTAATACCCTACGAGTTTCTTTGGCAACCAAATGTAGTAGGGTTTGACAGTTGTCCCATGAGATTGGTTGGGGTGCGTAAAAGCTAGTCCAGATGCTCATGGATATCACAAAAAGAAAAAAAAAAAAAATCCTCCCATAGTTCAACCATTTTATCACCTGGAAGCAGCTTCAGATTCCATTACTGCACCCACCAATTTCTATTAGGACACTCATAATCCGAAAACATTGTAACCTTAGTTATTGTCAACAACCACATTTACTCTTGATTTATGTACATCTCCCCCTTCACCAACCATTAGCCAGTATATATATCTCTCAAAAAAAATTTCATTCATCTATCCCTTTTTCTTGCATTGGTTCAGCCAAGCATCAACTGACTGGAGCAACTTCAGATTTCTTCCATTGTCCCATACCTGAGGTTGGTGCTTCTTCTTCTTCATTTTCCCTCTATCTTTAGCAGTATATATATTTGCTTGGAACAAATCTGGTTACTGCAAACTTGGAGAAATCATTCATTTTCGAGTTCAGTTCCTGTTTTGGCTGTGATTCTGTTGGCGTTTTAATTGAAACCTAGCTTTGGCCTTTGAATAATCAATGAGATCTATTACACCTTGTTATGCTAACGATTATATAAGAAGAAGAGGAAGAAGAAGGTATTCATACTTCTCTGATAATACTATAAAAAATTGTTACATGACTAAATTGTATTATGCTGTATTCAGCGATGTTATTCAAGACTTCAGTTTGAACCTTCCAAACATTCAAAGTGATATGTGGGCGGACTCCGATAGTCTTGGAGACGAAGGAGGTGCACTGATGAGTGAGACATCGATGACGAGACTGAGTGTGACAGGAACATCCGAAAGTAGCAAGAGGAAGAGGGCTAGTAATGTTGTTGCTACCCTAAACCGTATTGCTAACACCATGGAACAGATGCCAAAAACAATGCATTTGGCTAATGAACAGCTAGCAAAAATCGCCGCATGGAACCGAGGTTGGCGAGAGGAAGCTGACTGCCAATGGCAGGTGTTGGACGAGGTATTACAAGCTCCCGGTTTGACAATTAGCGAGCGGGTGGATGTTGGTGAGATGTTGTTTGTCGATCAACATAAGACGGATTACTCCTTACTGCTGCCTGATCACTCAAAGGATGTTTACATAAAGCGTCTCCTGAGTAGATGTGATCATAAGTAATAGGGTTGTTTATGGGGAGGATTTAAGGGTAAAAAATGGAGCATCTGCATTTTGTTGATACTTGATGGTATAACTCTATTACGCACTGATTACTTCTATTTTGTTAATCTCGAATAGAGTTACTAGGTTTTTGTTTAGTATGAACAAACTCGTTTTTAGTATGAATAAACTTGTTCAACAGTACTTGATTGTGTTTATATTAGCTTAATCAATAAACTTGTTCAACAGTACTTGATTGTGTTTATTTTAGCTTAATCATAATTGGTTAGTTCTTATAAATATGTGATTATAATTTAATGTTAAACTACTAAATTTAAGTAATGAGTGTAGAAGGATGAATTTGAGCTAGTTATAGAATGCCAGAGTCATCCAAATCCAACTAATTAAAATTAAGAAGTATTTTTATATTAAATGAAGATGTGTAAAATTGATGAATTAAATAATATCAATGATCTTTATTTAAGGTTATTCATAAGGTAAATGACCAATTTTATACCATTCAAAGTCTTTAAAATAGGGTGAAACATTGTAAGTTCGATCTCCCTGCAATGCTATGTAATTCAAATTCCGTCTAACTTTCTAACTTAAACAAAGATATAGCAATATTTATCCTAAATTTTATAAAAAATAATAAACTTGACTACGAATCACATCAAATTTCACGTGAGAAGATCAAATTTCAAACTGATTTATACAAATAAAATCATATCCTAGAAGTTGGAACTAAAATGATAAATAAATAAAACTTCTGATATTAAGATTAAATTTCAAAAACTTAAAAGGCCGTTTGATAATATTTTACATTTTTTTTTTAAATTATGTTTTTCTACAACATATTTTTAAAATCATAAATTTAGATAAAATTTAAAATTAGTTCTTAAAAAGTAAAAAGAAAAGGGAACAAAACTGCACTTCTTATTTATTTATTTTGAAGAAAAGTTATTTACAACTTTTTACTTCACCGTTTTTTTTTCTTTTTTGAATATTTTGACTTCTGGGTTAAATATCTTCGTCCGTAACAGACGCTTTCGCCTTCATATCTTCTATATTTTGTTTCTGTTTGTTTGTTTGTTTTTTTTTAAATTTAAATTAAATTAATTTTTATTTCCATTTCTATACGACGATCTTGAGAAGCACGACTCCGGAACAATTAAGCAACCAAAAAAACTGAGTGAGGGAGAGAGAAGCAGAGACAGAGAGAGAGATGGCGGACACTCTGAGCGCTTTGAGACTTCTAATGGCGTCCCACTCGCCTCCTCTCGACGCCTTGGTCGTACCTTCAGAGGACTATCACCAGGTTTTCTTTCTTCTCCTGCTTCCAATCAGCTGAATTAATCAATATCTAGCTATTACGACTTCTGAATTCTTAGTATCTGTTAATTTTTCAGAGGATCTGATTCCAGCTGTTTATTCTATGTTTCGCTTCTTGAGTCCTGGTTGAATGTTTTTAATGGTCTATACTATCTCTGATTGATCAGGTCGCAAGACGCGAGCTCTTGATTTTATCTTTTTGTAATAGTTTTCCCGATTGTCATTTCGACGTTTGTTTAAAGCCTTATCATCTTTGTATTGTAGTTGTGGTTGTTTTATTTTTCTTTCTTTAATTTCTTGTCACGGGGGTAAACTTTCGGTTAATAATTGCCATCTATGTGTTTTTGCAGAGTGAATATGTATCTGCGAGAGACAAGAGACGTGAATTTGTTTCAGGTTTCGACGGAAGTGCTGGTAAGTATTGCCAGTAAGAAAATTTCGACTACCATTACAAATTCTTTTTTTTCATCTTGTTTTTGCTTTGGTGACTGTATCCTAGTCGATGCTGTGTTAAAAAGATTTTTCGCATATTTTTCGCTAGCTGATGAAACAAGGATTCGAAAAACAGATATAACATGAATATAGAATCACGTAATAACAAGTATGGAGGAGAGAGAAGAATAAGGATCAAAGGTTTTATGCTGGTTTGATTACTTCATGAATCTACATTTGGTTGCTGGACCTGCCAAGCGAAACCACTAAAGGGGGAGTTAGGGAGAAAGCACTTTTTGGAAGAAAATTAATTTAATGTTTCTCTAAAAGCACTTTAATGATTTTTATCTGGTTTTAGAGTTTCTCAAACTATTTTTAATAGTGTTATAATTAGTTAAAATTACCCTTTACCAATAACTTTAACCAAAACACTACCAATTTTATAAAAAATATTTTGTCCTTCATAAACACTTTTAAAAGGAATTCCGAATACACTCCAAGTAAAGGCTCTCAAATTCAGTTCCCAGAATCCATAAAGAACCCATTCAATCAGTCTTCACGAGTCTCAAAGATCCTCAGCTTTAAAAGATTTTATTTCAGCCTAAGCTGTAATCCTCTCTACTTTAAAAAGATAATTGATGCCTTGTATAGCCAATATAAAGTATAAGCTATTGACAGTTTTAGCTATTAATTGTTATTAGGACTTGCCATATCTGCCGACCATACTTCAACATTTGAAAATGTTGCTAGAATTTTAGTTGCAAATTAAGTAGAGAGAAGAAAATGCTCTGTGCGTATTTCCTCGACCTGTTTGATCACGGTTCACGTTCATTCTCTTTTGATAATTCTTTCCCATTTATCTCACTCTCCGCATAATTTTTTTAGTCCTTTTTTTTCCCTCAAGGTCTGGCACTTATAACCCAGAAAGAAGCATTACTGTGGACCGATGGGCGGTATTTTCTGCAGGCAGCTCAACAGCTTAGTGATCAATGGAAACTTATGCGAATGGGAGAGGATCCTGCTGTAGATCTCTGGATGGCAGATGTATGTGACCATTTATCTTTTGATGTGTTTCTAAATGTGGTGGCTTAGGTCTGGTCAAATCCTATTTTACTAGTTCTAAAATAAGATTTTGGGGTTTGAATGAGATTCTAAAGTTAGAAGAATGGAAGTTTTTATTATACTTTGTAATTGTGATTTTTCTCCTTTTGAAGTTTCATACCATGCCAAAAAAAAGAAAAAAGAAAAAAAAGGTTTCATATCATGTTCTGTACAAGATAATTGCTGCTGTGTTAGGCTAAGTTAGTTTTTTCAATTTCCCGTGTCAGAATCTGCCAGCAGACGGAGCTGTTGGAGTGGATCCTTGGTGTGTGTCAGTAGACACTGCACAAAAGTGGAAGCACGCATTTGCCAAAAAGCAGCAGAAACTGGTTCAAACCATCACAAACTTGGTTGATGAAGTTTGGAAGAATCGACCCCCACAAGAAATAAATCCTGTAACCATACATTCACTGGAATATGCTGGCCGCTCTGTCGAAGATAAGTTGAAGACTTTGAGAGGAAAGCTTTCTCAAGAGAAAGCCCATGGTATAATTGTGACCGCACTTGATGAAGTGAGTTTCCTTTTCTTTCCACAGAATCCTTGAACCATTCTTATTAAAACAGTGTTGTGTTTTGTGTTGATTTGTACCAATCTGACCACAGCCCTCTATTTTTTATGGTTTTCCTGTTTCTTACAAATAATTCCTCCTGTTGACAAATATGATGCAAGACATTATAAAATGAAAATATGCAGGTAGCTTGGTTGTACAACATCCGTGGAAGTGATGTGTCATACTGTCCAGTTGTACATGCATTTGCAATAGTGACACTCAGCTCAGCATTCTTTTACGTAGACAAGAGGAAGGTGTCTGATGAGGTGTGCCAAGACGCATGCGCCATGTTTTGTTTTGTAATAGTTATGCATAACAAATTTGAAAGAAAACTTTGCATTTTGATACCATTCTTGTATTTGATTCCAGTAGTTAATTTTTCAAAAAGAAATTAAATATTTGGAACATAATTTTGAGCTTTGCTTTATTTTATTTTTAATTCTCTTAATAAAGGTTTAGACCTTACCAAAAGTAAATATCTCATCCTCAGGTGCGCTTGTACATGGAGAAGAATGGAATTGAAGTTCGGGATTATAGTGCAATAATAACAGATGTGTCCTTACTCGCATCTAATCAGCTTGATTTGTCATCTTTTGTAAAAGGACCTGAAGTTAGGGCTAATGTGGAAGTAGAACTTAGTACGATTGACATAGCAGGATCTAATGGAACAAAAGTGGAAAGCCAGAATAATGGCCTCATATGGGTTGATCCTGCCCAATGCTGCTACGCTTTGTATTCTAAACTGAACTCTGATAAGGTTCTTCTGCAACAGTCGCCACTGGCCCTTGCAAAAGCTTTAAAGGTAGCATTTTGATTTGGAGATGTTTTTTTTTTCATCCAAAGAATGATATGCTTGTGTTTGTTATCATGTGTAAGCAATAAGCCATTACACTGGTGTCTGAGATGATATAAGTATAACATATATCTTATTATCTGCTCCAGGTAGTCAATAACTTTTAATTTATTCAATCATCTTCTTGAAACTCACAACATGGTTAAAAGGGAATTCCTGTTCAAAGTCTATATTCTTTTCATTGCTTGACTACTTTGATTGACCAAATATTCTATAGAACTCTGTTGAGTTGGACGGACTAAAGAAGGCACACATTCGGGATGGTGCAGCTGTTGTACAATATCTTGTGTGGCTGGACAAGCAGGTACATGAGACCTATAGCATCTAAACTATGTATCATTCTGATCGACATAAGTCTAAGCTTACATTCACCACTTCAATTGACCTCTTACTAAGCCCCAAAAACAGACCTGGACATTTCAAATAACATTTTCTGATTTCCTAGCTTGGTTTAAAATTTGCAGCTGCAAGAGAATTATGGGGCTTCTGGTTACTTTCTGGAAGGGGATGGAGTGAGGAAGCCCAAACCTTCGTGAGTTTCTGTACTCATTTTCGTGATTAAGCCATCAGCTTACTGTTGCAAAGAGCACAAATGCCTTTTCCTTTTTTTTTTTTAATGAAAGTTACATATTATGTCAACCTCAACATCCTCACATAGCTGTTATTGCAGATCCTCATTTTACTAATCTTATTTAATGCCAAAAAAACCTTTCTAGGGACTCAAAGAAACTGACAGAAGTTTCTGCAGGTGATAAGCTTGAGGCTTTCCGAGCATCAAAAGAGGTAAGCGTCATTGTTAATCTGTTCCACTCAATGTATACAATATGAACTAAGATTATTAGGTGATTAAATTTGAATTTTGGATACCATGTCTAGCATACTTCTGGAGAAGCAAGCTTAGCTGCAAGTGCAAAATAAGTTACTTTATGTTAGCCCATCCAAGAATCATATATCTCATTGTTGAGCCCTTCTCATTTCATCAACCAGCATTAGCTAATCCTCCCACATTCATGTTCATCTCTTTCAGAGGTTCAGATATTTGCTGGCCTTATTGAGAATTTTCATCTGCAGTTAAAGAATCCTTCAGCAGTGCAGAATATGTTTCTTATGGAAAAAACGGGCAGACTATGTTAAAATATATATTGAAAGATGTTTAGTGTATCTAAGAACAGACACTTAGTCATGCCACAAAAATAGACAGGCCTAAAATCCAGGCTTTCTAGAGGACTAGGTCCATGAAAATTGAGATAAACTTGAACAACGACAGTGTTTTTTTTTCTCTAAATATATGATTACAATGAAATAGACTTATATTTACTTTAATTTGCATTCAATCATGTACATAACAAGCCCTATAATTGACATTGGTTGAAAAGAAAAATGCGTTTTAAATGGTCTCTACATGCATGTTGTTCATTTTGGAAATGATAGGGATTGATTGTGATAGAGCCTGAGAAGTCCGTGTCTGTCCAAGATCCAGAAACTATTCTAGCTTCCTACTATCAGCCTAACTCTTTCCCTTTTTCTTTCCCTGTACTTTTGCTGATTTCACATTCTTTTGCTGACTTCACTAAAATTAACAAGTAACAAATATTCAAAAGACCATCCTTTCCTAATTAACTACTTGCCTCTGGCTCTGCATGTCTATTTTCCTTCCTTAGGTTCACGCTTCTTCCTTCTATAGTGTAAATGAGGCGAATTAGCAGCCTTACATTTTGTTTGTATTTTCAGAATTTTAGAGGCTTGAGTTTCCCTACTATTTCATCTGTTGGTCCAAATGCTGCAATTATACATTATGGACCGCAAGCAGAAACATGTGCGGAGTTGGATCCTGAAAGTATCTATCTTTTTGACTCGGGAGCTCAGGTTAGTTGTACATGCAAACCTTAAATGATGCTAACAATGATCTTTACTTTCTGTTTCGACTACCCCTAACCATAATGGTTCATTGATAAAATTCATTCTGTTTCAATTCTTCCCTTTTTGTTTATGTATTTTATAGTATTTGGATGGAACAACCGATATCACGCGGACGGTCCATTTTGGTTTACCTTCAGCACATGAAAAAGCTTGTTATACTGCGGTGAGTCACTTTAGATTAATTATTAATGAAACCGTTTGTTGTGCTATGTATGTGCTCTCTCTTTTCTGACTCTATATCAACTGACTTTGAAAAATGATGAACCTTAGTACAATTTGATGTGCTTTTAACGGTTATTTATATTTATTTATTATTTCAAGGAGAAACTGCCATTTCATTGTTGCATGAAAAGAACAAAAGAAGCAGACGGAACACTTGACTGTCAAAAGAGATTACAACAATAACTACTCTGGTTGGTCCAAGATCAAAGAAGAATTGTAATTCGTTCCGAAGAATGATATAATTAATAAGCCCTGACATCTTTATAAAGTTTTCTAATCCTAATTTGCCTGCTATATGGGTCGTGTTTGCAAGTGATGTAAATTGGAATAGTTATCATTTGATTAACCTCATTATTTGTTGGCTTCAAACTAGCCCTTGGTGTTAGTTGAGTTTTTCTAGCCGTTGGTTCTTAGTTATAAGTTATGTAACAGTGTAATAAATACCACTACTCGAGTTGTAAAAGGGCAGATTATCAAATTTTCTTTCATGTGGGTTTACACCACAAACATCATCTTAGATTTTGATGCTGTGCATGTTATTTAAGGAATCAAGATTATCTATTATGTTCTTTTACTATTTGTCTCAGCTCGTTAAAATTATTAAGTCCATCTATATGAACTAACTAAATTTGTACTGCAATGATGGTTATATCTGACTGAAGCAACATCTCCACAGGTTCTCAAAGGCCATATTGCTTTGGGAAATGCAAGATTTCCAAATGGCACAAATGGTATCAAGAATTCTCACATTTTCTGCTCTGTATTTTTTTTTTCCATTAAGCTGATCGGAGATACATTGACTTCCTATTTGCAGGCCATGCACTGGATATTCTTGCTCGAGTTCCATTATGGAAGGATGGTCTGGATTATCGACATGGCACTGGCCATGGCATTGGTTCTTACCTTAATGTTCATGAAGGTAATGAATTACTGCCTTCCACATTTTTTATTCAGTAATGTGTAGAAAGTAATGATTTTTTTTTTAATTTTGCGCAGGACCCCATTTAATTAGTTTCAGACCACAGGCTCGAAATGTTCCACTTCAAGCTTCAATGACGGTGACGGATGGTAAGTATTAGGACGTCATTGATATTCACTACACTTATTGGTGAACTCTTACATGGGTTTCACTTTCCCGTATTGATTTTTTTCCACTCGAATTTTCCTTGAAAACGATGCAAAAATGAGATATTTGATGTCTATTCCACCGCCTCCCTTATTTTTCTCTGGAGTTTGTCAAGTGTTTTTTGGTGCGATTATCTTTACAACAAACCCACTTTAGCTTATTTTCTGAACTCGGTTACTTTCGTTGGATTTCATAAACATAAATGGGTTAGATTTTTAGTCCTTCATTGTTAATGCCTTCTCAGAGCCTGGCTATTATGAGGACGGTGCCTTCGGTATTAGATTGGAGAATGTACTTACAGTGAACGATGCCGACACGAAATTTAATTTCGGCGATAAAGGCTACTTATCATTCGAGCACATAACATGGGTAGAGCTCCTATTTTCATTTGCAGCTCTTCTTAAAATAGAGAGACACAATTTCTTATATGATTTTAACTTTTGATTGTTGGCCAGGCACCATACCAAAAAAAGTTGATCAACACAAGTCTCCTCACATCTGAAGAATTGGATTGGGTGAACACTTACCATTCAAAATGCAGGGATATCCTTGCTCCATATTTGGACGAATCAGAGAAAGCATGGCTGAATAAAGCCACCGAGCCCATAACTGCTTGATCTCTCTGGGAAACAATTGAAGTTATGCTTCAGAACTCGTATGCTAGCCACATCTCGTTTCTTTTAATCATATCATCTTCACTTGGCGCCTTTCGAGTCTTTTAAATAGTTGAGTATCATTACGCTTACCTTTCTCCACCTTGTCGATATTTGTCCGAAGTTGTCAGTGTGTGCAAATCCTTATGATATTAGTGATATTATTTTCTAGAAAATGAGTTTATTCTCATTCTGATCAATATAACTGGTTGAAGTTTCTGCCTCAGCCAACATATGCATACATTAACATTGGTATACATAAGTTGGAAATTTGCTATTGATCGGTGCTAAATATTTTCATGTTGAAATGCAACTTTTTACGACGCTTCCTCTCTTCAAATTTTTCCTATTGGGAGTATATGAAGTCTTGGAATGTTCATGCATGAATATGAATTAGAACTCCCAACTTTTCTTTTTGGAAATATGAGTGTCCATATGCATTATATTTAACCAGAAAATAAAGAATGCAACTCTTCTTTTTTTTCCCTTGAATATTTGCATAATTATATGGTAACTAATTAAGTTCTAGGCGGCAAGATTTGATTCATGTGGACAGGTTATATTTCAGTAATGTTGAGATTTAAATGTGAGTTTTGTCTCGGGAAATTGGACTATTTTCTATTTTGGCTGATGCTTGAAATTTCAAAAACTTTATCCATTCTTAATTTGAGATAATACATTTTTCATGTTGTTTGCTTCATGTTCCACAATTGTAGGATAGGGGATCGAACTATCGGCTACGGAATGGTAATAAGTATTTTATTGATTGAGTTATGCTCGGAATGATATATTGTTGGCCCTTCAGGGCAAGAATTTGAACCTGACTTCTATGATTACCATTAGGTGTGAAACCAAAAATTTACACGTGGTCCTCTCGCCTTGATATACGTGTCCAAACATTTGTTCGGCGAATATAGGCGCCAGTATGACGTTTTCCAATACTCCCTTATAAAAGGTAGAGTCCCCTACCCACACATGTACGCTATATATGTGCTTCTAACCAAGTTTGACACCAATTCATACTAAATACTAATTTAAGTTGAGTGTACGTTGTCGAGCACCATACTTTTTAAATATTGATTGGGAGCTCACCTCGTCCAAGTACCTTGTTAAATATTGATTAAACTCAAAATTGTAAGTCGATGAGTATGATAAATTAATTTTTTAACTGGTTATATTTTTATCAACCCCATATTTTTTTCAACTATAGTCGGTCTTTTTTTATATATAAAAATCCACATGTTTTAACAATGTGAAGTTGATATTCAACATCTAACTTTTTGCATAATTCTCTGACCAATTGCTAGATTGGTCATAAAACTCCGCATATGAGCTGCATAATTCTCTGACCAATTGCTAGATTGGTCATAAAACTCCGCATATAGCTCATATGATAAAATTTCTGACTTTTATTTTTGTATTTTAGTTAAAAACAATATGTGGGGTGAAAATTTGAATATCTTACTTTTATAAAAACCATAATCATTCAACATTTTTTATATGTAAATAATAAATGGTAAAATACCAGACTCGTATTAACCTAAAGCTTTTTATGGGAGAAGCAAAAAGAAAAGAAAAAGAAAACATTGGGCCTAATTGAAGTTGGAAGAACCATAAATAACAAAAATACAGTCCATAATGGTTTGCGTTGGGGGGTTTTGAAGAAGGCCGTTAAGGTTCAAAGGCTGAGAGATGAGAGGGTGTCCTGTTAGCCGTTAGGCATGACAGTGAAAGAATTTTGAGGGAAATGGGAAGCTTTCTTACTTTTGCTGACCAAACAATTTGGAAACTGACCACCCTTTTATTAGTAAACCCTCCCTCTTCACCTATTAATTCTTCGCCATTTCTCCTGCGAGTTATTGGACACACAAACAAAGATTAAACAGC